GTCCCAGTTTCATTGGCCACATTACTTTGCAACGTGTTACTATAGAGCACAGATGAGAAAATGTTACTGAATAGCCCACAATTAAGACATCATAGATTTCCATTAGCAAATATGTGGCCATTATGGGAACTTAATACTGAATAAGTAGAGACTTCAATCACATCTAGCATGACTCTTCATCAATACAAAGTTATTGAATTATACTGAGTGCCTATTTGATGTGTCTCCTGAATGAATGGAAATGGGGATGGGTGGTGAAATGTGCCTGCCTGATGATCTTGGGGTCTCAGTACTTAAATATTTTACTTTTGTTAGGCAACAATAAACAGCTCTTTACAACCAGCCACAGGAAAAAGAACTACCAAGAGGTAAAACCAGCTCATTAAGCAAATGTCTGTTCCAGGTAGCCAAGCCTATACAGAGCAAGCTTCTCTTCCTAACTTATGGGTTTCTCTTCCTTAAGAAATTATTTCCAAATCAAAACTCTTCCAAGATGGCATTATAAAAAATTGGAAAAGGTGGTACCAGGCTCAGATTGTGAACTTTTTGGCTCAGGTATTAATTATAGCACTAATATGTACAAATTTCTTGCTCTGTTATATAAAGTCTTTTCCTTTAGAACAATCTTTCTCTTTTTCACTTTATTGCTGCTGTTCTAGGCTTCTCAGTTCACCATGCATTTCAAGGTTGTATGTTTGGATGCTATTTTACCTTCACCACCAATTCACAATTTGTTTTCCTACTCTTCTTAGTTCAAATTCCTACCTGTTTTCTCAGACTACAGACAGAATAGAATAGAATAGAACAGAACAGAACAGAACAGAACAGAATTCTTTATTGGCCAAGTATGATTGGACACACAAGGTATTTGTCTTTGGTGGATATGCTGTCAGTGTACATAAAAAGACAAGATACACTCGTCAAGAATGATAGGGCACAACACCCAGTGACAGTCTTACGGTACAAGAAACAATCAAATCATACTAGGAAACAATCAATATAAATATAAATCGCAAGGATACAAGGAACAAAGTTACAGTCATACAGTCACAAGTGGGAGGAGATGGGCAACAAGAACAATGAGAAGACTAATAGCAATAGTAATGCAGCCTAATGTGAATAGTTTGACAGTGTTAAGGGAATTATTTGTTTAGCAGAGTGATGGTGTTCAGGAAAAAACTGTTCTTGTATATAGTTGTCTTGGTGGGCAGTGCCCTATACCTTTGTTTTGAGGGTAGGAGTTGAAACAATTTATGTCCAGGACGTGAGGGGTTTGTAAATATTTTCACAGCTCTCTTTTTGACTCGTGCAGTGTTCTGTCCCCAACCACACGCACACACACACCAACAGACGTTCAAGAGTTAAAGACCAAACCAGCTGGCAAAATCCTTTTCCTTATGATTACGGAACTTGGCAATAACCTAGTGGCTGCCTGCCAAGAGTTTATTATTTACGAAGAGGAGAGATAACTTCTCCCCACTCCTGGTACCTCAAAAGAAACAGCTCATTAATTACGGAGTCAATCAAGTCCAGAGATAATCCAGCAAAGTCTATAGCAAAAAGTCTGGCAGTGCAGAATGGCGTGGAAGCTTTCAGCTTTGTTCGTCACAAGGTTTGACTGGCCACCACGCTCCCTTTTATATCCTGTGGGGTGTGGTCCAGTGACTCAGCCTAATCTCGGGCACGCCTTTTCTTCTGTTGCGCGCGCTTATCTCTGCGACACTGGCGTGGATCCAGCCAAGACTCATTACCCTCATCACTGTCCATCTGTGGCTGCGTGGACATGCTTGGCCCCGGCCCTATCTCTTGCCCTTCGGCGGACACCGAAGGCATTGCCAGAGAGGAGGGTCTTGGAGAGGGAGGCCTTGCCAACTCCTCTCCTTCACTCTCGGAGTCCTCTCCTGCCGATGACACAGGCTCAGGTAACGGAGCCACAACATGCAGTATACAGGTCCTTAATGGAAGGCAGGTTGGTAGTAATTGTTATAGAGGTGTAGATGACCGACTATAAATAATAAAAATAATAAAATAATAAAAGTTTATTATTTGTTTAATTCAAGCACTGGATCCTTCTGTATCCAAATGATACTTTCCCACTAATCTCTGTTTAAAGTCAATGGATAAAAGTAAAGCCAGATTCCTTCCACATTCATAATAAATCACTAAAAACATATGCAAATGAATGTTTTTGCTATTGCCTACAGCTTTTGAGTTCTTAACTGTTACCATGTCAGGAGGCTCCAGTCATGTTTTCCTATACGTTATATAGGGGAAATTATGCTTTTCTTTTATCTAGTTGTCTCAATAAATGGCAGCACCTAGGCAAGCTTGCCTAATCTAGCTCAAATGTATCTATCTTGGTCGGCATTTAGATAAGAGACCTCCTAGGATCTAGGAGTTCAAAACATTGAACAATTATCCCAGAAGAAAACAATGCCAAATCCTTTCACAGCAATAACAGGAGTTGGGCTTGAATCAAAGATATGTTTATATCTAAATACATACAATAGCTAAAAGGAAATTGTGAAAAAAATTGCACTAATCTATCTTGAATAAATCTTGTTGTGACATGAACAAACAAAATACTTGGGATTTGTTCATATTTTTTGAATATCCAACTACATATTTTGAGTTATGATAGATAGCTTTATTTATTAGCCTATAGGCCATATCAAAGCACAAGGTCACCAATAAAACACACACATCACCAATAAAATCCTATACAAACAATTTAAATATTTTGAGTGAAAAACAAGACACACAAATAAGTCTGACATTGGATTAGCATATTTCTCAATATTATAATGAATATAATATTTTATCTCCTGGGTACTCAATGAGTATGTGTTCAGTTCTTTCTATTTTTGCTGGGGAGAGCTTTACCCTAAAGAAAGGTAGGTCTTACAACTTTGTGCAAATTAAGGAATACAGGAATGAGTATTTAGTGATTTTCTCATACAGCAACTGATCACAGTTACGACAGTGAATAAAAGGTAATTTTGTGCCCAATCCTTGCATTTATGATCTTCACATATGAAGTAAGATCATAAACACAATTGCAGTTTCTCTTAGCAACTGCTTTTATTAATGATGGAATTGCTGGTCCCAACTGTGTTCACTAAACAAGGACTATCTGTATGACACTACAAAGAAAGAAAGATCTGGAGGAAGAGATGCAGAGGACAGCTGAACTGGCAGCAATTACGAAACTAAGCTTTTTGTTTTAATGGCATCAGCCATTTGGAAGATAAAGCTACAGCTACCTTTAAACCCAGATATTGCTCTTCTATCACCATGCCATCCTAATATGCCACAAGAAGCAGGCTTTCTCATTCCACCTTCCCTTCTTTTTTCCATACCACCATATCTCTGAATGAGAAAATGTAAAGTTATTATGAAGAAGGAAGACTACACCCACTATATGACCTTTGGAACAGCCACTTCGCCACACCTTTAGAGCTTAGCAAATGCCCATGAGTTTTCTGGATGTTTAAAAAACATTTATTTTTTGTGCCATAAATAGTGAATCAGCTCTATGGAGAATGAAGAGAAAAATATGAAGAGTAAACTATGATGCTTGAAAAAACAGCTTGTGATCTCCTGGATGAAAACATTGCTTGCTGGCTAGAATCCTAAGCAGAGTACTCTAATTAAGATATATGGCAGCATTTTGGTGAAGTTCCAACTGATTAAGAAAGGGCATATGAGGAAATCATCCATCCTGTAAAGCTTTCAGTTGCAATCCTAGTACATTACACAGCTTTGGATACTACAAATCCCCCTAATGATGGAATGGCAAAAAGATTATTTGGAAACAACATATACCACTTTTTCTGGTGCATTATTTTCCAATTCCTCTTTTGTGATCTGTGTTTCATCTGGAATTTTATTTGTATTCCTTCTGGAAAGCAGAAGATATAAATTCTTTTCCGTTACCTGCAGAGCACAAGGTTCAGAAAATCCAGAAATTAAAGAAACCTCTGCTAACATATTCTCTTTTGTCACATGTAAAGCAGATGTTTCTTTGTAAGAAACAAATCAAAGGCCATTACCTTTTGAAAGAACTATTTCTTTTGAATTCTGATTGTTTCCCTTTCTTTAGAAATTGGATTGAAACATAACACATTGACTTGATGGCTCATCAGCATGTCTGGGGTTTCACACAGCAGGTCAATAAAGTACCCAGTGTGATAAAACCAGGACAACTTGTAACAAGGATCAAGGCAAAGAGTTCAAATAGCAACTTCCTAAGGGTCAGTTCAGAAGTGAAAATGCACATTGTCAATGAAAAGTTCATTTATTTGTTTGTTTATTTTATTAGTCATATTTCTATGCCGCCCACTCGCCGAGGACTCTGGACGGCTTACACCAAAGACAGTATACTAAATAGCATATTGCCCCCAACAATCTGGGTCCTTGAGCCGGTGAGATTTGAACTGCTGATCTGCTGAACTAGCAGTCAGCTGAAGTAGCTGCAGTACTGCACTCTAACCACTGCACCACCTCAGCTTTTCATAGCACAAACATAGTTATAAAACAATGTACAAGAAAGAATATTGTATGTATGTTATTCTTAACTACTTTCAGTCTCAACATAATAGATGTAATCTTATAAATTATACCTAAGAACATACTTTTACTATAAACCAGTGTCACAATATAAAAGAAGTTCTGAAAGAGCCCGTTAGCTTGTGAAACTCATTTAGTATTCACTAATGTTTTAATGGATGCAAGTTTATGTTCTGCCTTGAATATTTTTATCTGTTCTTTTGATTTTGTGGTTATATAGTTTATTATTCTAATCTTTTGTGGAAATTGTATATAGAAAAGTACAGAAAAATAATTATATATTAATATTAATAATTACTGTGCAGCCAAGCATTTTCCAAAAGAGTCAAATTTTTCCCCTTGCCCCAAAACGCGGAACGACAGTGGAGATTCTGCACTACTGTTTGTTCTTTGTTCTTTTCCAACTTATTTCAGCAGATATTCGTAAATGTCTGACCAAAGCTGATCTTGGAAGCTAAGCAGGAGAAAGCCTGGTTAATAGTTTGATGGGAGCTCTGCAAGGAATCTCAGGGCTGGCTGGAGGACTGGGAAGGCAAAATAAAGGTGAGATAAAACCCTAAAAATAAATGAATAATATATAAATAATACTTTATGGACTATTACCAGAAAACTGCTTGGACCTATCCATTAATCCCTTAGTAGTTGCATTTGCTGAAAAGTTCTGCTGTACAAATTAAATATCCACCTTTTTCATTGTTTTTAACAATCTTTAACACTAGCGATCTGTAGCATCAGCCAAAAATGGTAACCTTGTGGTAACCAATGCCTAATGGAAAAACTACTGTATGTCCAGGTAATCCTATAAACTGCTAGTGTGGAAATCTCTAGTGTGCTGATGGTCACAAATATAATTGGTCTTGGCATGCTAGGAACACAAAGGATTACAATTTCTTTAATGATTCTCTGGAGCTGCTGACTCAGGCACCAATACTTGACTGCCAGGGAAACAGCTGATGTTATGTCAAATGTGAAAAACAGATATGTTTAAAAGTACCTTCTAACATCACTCAGATAGCTCAAATATCTGTTCAAATATCTCTTTTTAAATTATGCTTTAAAGTAATGGGTTTTATTCTCTATGATTTTTTTGAGGTGGATTGGTGTATAATTAAATAAATGGAGTATCTGAAAAGGGAGATAAGTTTTGACCATGACAAATTAATTGCTAAAATTAGTCCTGGAGTCAGAACAGTGATATCTTTCTCTCTTTGATAATCACCGCCTTTGAAAACAATAAATCAAAGTACATGGGGTGGGGTGGGGTGATTATAAATTTCGTGGTATATAAAAGGAAGATAACTTTTTGAATCTGCAACATAGTCTTCCATGTTTCTCTAACCTATTTTCTATTCTTTTCTTTAGCACACAAGTTCACATTTCTGGAGTGGTAAAATAAAATATTGTGTGTTAAATACATGAATAAATTGAATTTCCATCTCTATAGAGAATTCTAATTTTAAAGAAGAATTTGTCTTTTCAATCCCAATTTGTAATGAAGACAGCATAGAGAAATAGATCCCTTCTAAGCCGAAGAACCATCATGGTTTAAAATAAACTGGTCAAGCTCTTTGTGGGTTCTGCCAATAGCCTCTCTGGCTTCTCACAGCACATGCTGGGCATCATAGCATTTCTAGTTCAACCCTTCTAGTCTCTCTTATGAGGGCTTTTACAGAGCAAACTCAACTGACTGGGATTTCTGAGATCTGCTGCCAATGACTGTGTACAAGGAGTAGATCCTCAGTTACTAAATTCATATGCTGAGGTCTTGTGATTTATGATTACCGTATCTAAGGTGCAAAGAGAGAGAAAGAAAGTTCTGTTTGCTGCTATTTACTAGTCTTCTGGTTGTTAGCAGCCCAGTTGATCTGTGATTTATGGAAGTAATAGCTATTATTTCTATGAGGTATTCCTCATGGCTATATTAACCTTTTTCCATCTTGTGTACTTTCTGGGGAGGAGTCCTGTTCTGTACCTCAGATAGCCGGATGTGAGTCCCTTTGTGTGAAGTGGGGCCGTGTGGTGCAGATGGGTTTGCTGACTACGTACCTGGCTCCCTGCCACGTGGCAGCGACCCTGCCCGAGCTACTCGACGTCATTGCCGGGGTGGCGGTCGATACCCCCAGACTTATTGTCATGGGAGATTTCAACCTCCCATCCGCAGGTGAGGCGTCAGAGGTGGCTCGGGAGTTCATGGCTTCCATGAAGGCCTTGGACCTGACCCAGTTAGTTCAAGGCCCCACTCACATAGGGGGACACACTCTGGACCTGATTTTTATCTCTGGTCAGTGGTTGAATGATCTTGGTAGAGGGGACCTAGATATTAAACCCTTGTCATGGACAGATCATTCACTCCTTCAACTAGACTTTCCTACCGCCTGCCCCCACCGCAGGGAGACGGAACCGACCAGATGGTTCCGTCCCAGGCGCCTGATGGATCCCGAAAGGTTCCTGACGGAGCTTGGGCCGTTTCCTGAGACTCTAACACACGACTCGACTGAAGAGCTGGTGGCCGCCTGGGAAAGGGCGGCCGCTGGAGCTTTGGACTGCGTCGTGCCTTTGCGGCCTCTGACCCGATGCCGATCTCAATTAGCTCCTTGGTTCTCTGAGGAGCTGAGAGAGATGAAGCGTCGGAAAAGACGCCTAGAGAGCATTTGGAGGACTAGTCAATCCGACTCCGACCGGACACAGGTGAGGTCTTATATCAAGACCTACCTAGTGGCGATAAAAGCGGCAAAATCTAACCATTTTTCCGCTCTTATCGCATCTGCAGAGAACCGCCCAGCCGCCCTGTTTAGGGTGACCCACTCCCTTCTTCGGGGGGGAGTGCGGGAAGATCCCTTGCAGGGTCGTGCTGAGGATTTTGTGCAATTCCTGCACGATAAAGTCGCTCGGATTCGGGATGGCTTGGACTCCGATTGGATGAGTCCACGGGAGGAGACCGGGGCAGGTCTTGAGAATGTTATCTGGGAGGAGTTTGATCCTGTGACTCCCGAGGATGTGGACAGGGTCCTGGGTAAGATTAGTGCCGCCACGTGTTTATTGGACCCGTGTCCCTCCTGGTTGGTACTGGCCTCCCGGGAGGTTACACGAGGCTGGCTCCAGGGGATTATAGGTGCTTCTCTGGGTGAGGGTGCCTTTCCTGCTGCCTTGAAAGAGGCAGTAGTGAGGCCCCTCCTCAAGAAGCCTTCCCTGGACCCGGCTGAATTAGCCAACTATCGTCCAGTCTCCAACCTTCGTTTTGTGGCGAAGGTTGTTGAGAGCGTGGTGGCACGACAACTTCCCCGGCACCTGGATGAAGCTATCTATCTAGACCCGTACCAGTCGGGCTTCAGGCGGGGGTACAGCACAGAAACGGCATTGGTCGCGTTGGTGGATGATCTCTGGAGGGCTCGGGACAGGGGTTGTTCCTCTGTCCTAGTCCTATTAGATCTCTCAGCGGCTTTTGATACCATCGACCATGGTATCATGCTGCAGCGGTTGAGGGGGTTAGGAATAGGGGGCACCATTTTGCGGTGGTTCTCCTCCTTCCTCTCCGACCGCTCGCAGTTCGTGTTGGCAGGGGGGCAGAGGTCGACCTCGAGGTGTCTCGCATGGGGAGTGCCGCAAGGGTCGGTCCTCTCGCCCCTCCTGTTCAACATTTATGTGAAGCCGCTGGGTGAGATCATCCGTGGTTTTGGGGTGAAGTGTCATCTGTACGCTGACGATACTCAGCTGTACATCTCCACCCCAGACCACCCCAACGATGCCCTTGATGTGATGTCCCGCTGCCTGGAGGCCGTGCGGGTCTGGATGGGGAGGAACAGGCTCAGACTCAACCCCTCCAAGACCGAGTGGCTGTGGCTTCCGGCGCCCCGATATAGTCAGCAGGTGCCATCGCTGACTATAGGGGGCGAATCTTTGCCCCCCACAGAGAGGGCTCGCAATCTGGGTGTCCTCCTGGACGCACGGCTGTCTTTAGAAGAACACATGACGGCCGTGGCCAGGGGGGCCTTTTATCAGGTTCGCCTTATTCGCCAGTTGCAGCCCTTTCTGGACCGGGACGCCTTGCGCACGGTCACTCATGCCCTTGTCACCTCCCGGTTGGACTATTGTAATGCTCTCTACATGGGGCTCCCCTTGAAGAGCACTCGGAGGCTCCAGCTGGTCCAGAATGCGGCCGCGCAGGTGGTTATGGGCGCAACCCGTTATGCCCATGTGACACCCCTCCTGCGCGAGCTGCACTGGCTCCCGGTGGTCTTCCGGGTGCGATTCAAGGTGTTGGTTACCACCTTTAAAGCGCTCCATGGCATAGGACCCGGGTACCTCTGAGACCGTCTTCTGCCACCAATAGCCTCCCACCGACCAGTTCGTTCCCACAGAGAGGGCCTCCTCAGGGTGCCATCAGCCAAGTTATGTCGGCTGGTGACACCCAGGGGGAGGGCCTTCTCTGTGGGAGCCCCAGCCCTGTGGAATGAACTGCCCCCGGAAATTCGTAAGATCTCCGACCTCTGGGTGTTTCGCTGCGCATTGAAGACCCTGTTGTTCCGCCAGGCCGGACTATCAACACAATAGTTTTAAATTGGGGTATTTAAATTTATTGGGGTTTTAAATTTGAGCCACTTATTTAATTATTTTAAATTTTATATCATTGTCTTGTCTGTGTTTTTAAATAGGCTGTACACCGCCCTGAGTCCTTCGGGAGAAGGGCGGTATAGAAATAAAATTATTATTATTATTATTATTATTATTATTATTATTATTATTATTATTATTATTATTATTATTATTATTATTACTGGCAACAAAACCATGACTAATGGTGCTCTTATACAAGTAATAGGGGATCTTTAAAAAGATAATTGGTGGGTTCCTCTGGTGTTACCTACTAGCAGGGAAAACAACCAGTGATCATTCTCTTTAATGGAGGAGACAGATTTTGACAGATAACTAGACCAGTGTCTGCTTTAACAGGCATAAGTGATCACTCCCTAGATTAGATGCAGTGACACTTTTTCTGCAGGAGGATGGGTTCTGTCTGATAAAGCGGCATTTAATCAGTGAGTGAATAAGCATTTCATGGTAAAGAAAAAATCCTTTACCAGAAACCATTGACCCACAATCTGGATCAGTCTGAAGAGCACTGACATGTCTAGCAATATTTCAGAAGATTGTCTGATACATGCCAAAAATGCAGTCCCTCTCCGGACTGGTAATAGAAGTTGAGAGACATGGCTTCTTAGATCATACTATTGGATCAAAGAGCTAGTGGCTAAACATCCACTTCCCAAGCTCAGGGTTCAGAGCAGTGGCAAGAGAAGGGTGGGAGAGGGAAATAAGAAGGGAAGTAATTATTAAATCACAATTACTAAATTCTGGCTACAGAGCTGCTTCCCTGTTTATGTCTCCTCTTCTTCAGTTCCTTGCCTATTCCCTTAGGTGAAGTATAATAAATGAAAATTGAGGTGTTATCAATATAGTTTGTAGTCATTATTTCTCTATGGATGCTACTGTGACAGAACTAGCAGCCCTGATAAATGTAGTCTTGGCATTCAGCTACACTAATC